AAAAAAAGTCAATTTCTTCGGTTCCGCCAGCGGAGTTAACTCTCTAAGGTATGTTGATTCCTTCTACTTCAAAATACTCCATATACTCAAGGATCATCTAGAACTATGTTTTCAGTCTGAACCTTACGACATCGGCGCCCCGACACTCAAACTTGATTCAATTCTTGGGATGCCCGCGAGCATCATGACCGGCCTTGTTTACGCCGGCGGCGCTACGCGCCGCCCACGAAATTTCATTCAATTTTGGTGTTCCCGCCAGTGGGAGATCAGACCTTCAAGGTATGTTAAGTCTCGTTACGTTGCCACACCTGTACTCGTACTTAAAAACCTCCCAGGCTCGCCCGCGTACCTCCCTTTATGCGAGGGCCCAATTTTAAACCCTCTATCTAGAGCGTGCAGTTCCTCGGCGGCGGCGCGAAGTGCCGCACTGAAAATTCTATACACAAGATTTGGACTCTGCCGAGTGCGGCCAAGCGTTCCAGGTCTGTCTATCAGATATTGCAAATATGTTCCATTCTAATCCCTATTCAGACGACTCCGTATGCGTTGGCGGCGCGTAGCACCGCTCCCAAAATTTTATCCAACTTTTGGTGTTCCGCCGAGCGAACTTAATCGTCAAAGGTACGTTCATTTTTTGATGTCCCACGTATGCTCAACACCAACCTCATTCACTCAGCCTGGTCGCATCAGTCATGTCGGCGGTGCGCAGCGCGCCCTCAAAATTTTTAAATTTGATATTTGATCTTCCCGCGAACAAGGTTACGCGCCGCAGGTACGTTACTTCCATACTATCCCTACCTTATGACTGACCTCTTTACCCAGCTCCATACCTTTACTGCCTCGCCCTTCAACATCCACCTTCCGGTCTCGGCCCCACCACCGCCGCCCCGCCAACTCTGATTGGAGTTTTCGCGTTCCGCAAAGAGAGGGTTCGAGGTCCGTGGTAAGTCATATTTTGCCCCCATCCCTGACGCGTAATTGACGCGTTTTTTCCACTCTCCAAGCTCCCATGACCCGGCCCGCAACGCAAATTTGATTTTTGGCGTTCCCGCGAGCGGGGTTACGCGCACAAGTACGTTCTACCTCGCGCCGCTATTATTACGCGTTTTTCCCCCTCAACCTCGCCCCGCCAACGCGGTTCTTGCGCAATTCAAATCATCCGTGAGTCCCGCTGAATTATATCTTCGCAGGACTTAAAAATGAACCCATAGCATCAATCTTTCAAATATTTTTGCGTTCAACTACGCGTTTCAAGTTAGATTTCAACAACGCCAATGCTCAACCAAGTCAAAAATGCGCACAACTTCAATTACATCTCGCGTAAGTTCAAGTCTACGCGTCGTATTCCTTCCCGTTGCTAAAAACCTCAGATTTCAAGTCACTTGCACTTCAAAAATGAACACATAGGCCACAATATGTCAAATATTTTTGCGTTCAATTACGCGTCGAGTTGGATTTCAAACTCAAGAACGCGCCGACTGTTCAATTTTAGCCAAACGACCCGCCAGCAATTCAATTCCAATGCGTACGTTCAATTTTACGTGTCGTGGTCATTCCCCTTGCTGAAGAAATGCCGAAGTTCAGTTAATTCCACTCCAAAAACGATGTGTAACCCCTCATGTTGAAGTCCTTCAATTACGACGCGTCCAAGTTGAATGTTACGCGTCATATCCGTTCCCCAAGTCAATTACCTTCAAAAATGACGAGTAAATTTCCTTTTACTTCTTCCCCTGCTTAGGTGCCTTTCAAACGCGACTGAAAACCTGCATTTCAACGCACTTTTTCGGCTCTCATTTCCTCAAAAATTTCCGCTCGTATACAGTCAGAATTCCCTTTTTGACTCTGTCTTCCGAAAAAAATATTTGTTTTTCTTTTTTTTCGCTGGGTACAATTTGTACCTTCACTATTTAAGCTTTCTTCAATTGATGCTCTGACCCGCTGATAGGCGGGGCGGGGAGGCAGTCGATGTATTCATAGCGCACAAATCAAATATATTCATACGTACGACAAGTACCGATGCCCAGACGCCCCCACTTCGCCCGAGTGTACCCGTTCCAGGCCCTCAGCACGACGCTCTCCCACTCCCACTCCCACTCTCTTCCGAACCGCGCAGCCCACGCACAAGCAAGAACAGAACAGCACCCGCTCGCGTTCCCGTTCCTCCCTGCACGCTGCCTGTCTGCGGCGCCACCGATCTGGTCACTCCCTCGTAACGATAAAAAATGAAGAAAAAGGCCGCATGTCTGCCTGTCAGCCTTTCGCAACTCTCCTCAAAACGCTCCTCGCCTCAAGAAGTCGAAAAAGAAAGAGGGAAGAAAAATCAAAGGGATAATCAAGAAAAGGAAAAAGAAAGGGAAAAAAAAGAAAACCAAAAACTCAAAAAAACGTAAAAGGCGCGAAAAGGGAACAGGGAAGAACGAAAAAACGCAAGACCACTCACTTCGGCGCGCTCCTCGGCTTCCTCCCCTCGACGATGCAGACGTGCCCGCCCGCGCGGCACCGGCGGCAGGTGTTGTCTGCGGGGTCTGCGAACGAACAGATGTTAGCATGCATTCAGAAAGAGGGCCAGACCATGAACAAAATGCGCGCCGCCATCAAACTTGGGAGGCTAAGAGGAAAGGCACGGCAGCAAATGAAGTCGAGGCCGTTCCGTTTCCTCCGCCCGCCCCAAATTCCGCTTCTCGCTAGAAACCGCCGCATTCCTACAGCCAGCACATGAGGCGCCGAAGACTCCCGCGCTGCGAAGCGGCGCCTGCTGCCTCCCATCCCATTCCCCTCCCTCCCTCACTCCATCCCCTCCGCATCACATAGAAAGAGAAAAAGAAAAAGAAACGCCACGCACCCCGCCCAACCCCGCCGTCCCCACCAGGCCCAAAGTCGCACTTCATCTTGAGCTTCTTGCAGTGCGTGCATGCGCCGGGGCTGGTGCGCGCGAGGTATCGAGCGCGTTCGTTGGCAGCACATGTGGAGGTGGATTCACGATACCGGATATTTGATATTGAGCATTGAGTTAATTCGTAGAAAAGTTTTTAGGAGGGAGAGTAGTGAGGAGTCGGGAGTAGGCGAGCGGGTTCGTCCATTAGTGTCGGAGAGACAGGTGGGCGGGGTGGATGGATAGAAGAAACCGAGGAGAGTAGGAGGAGTTCGGCCAGAGGGAGAATGGGAGGAGAACGTCCGTATGTCGGGGTCGGCGCGATGTGATCGAAACAAACACGGAGTAGAGCCAAGGAGGTAAGTAGGAATGAACCGTGATTCGAAGTACGCGAAACCAGGTAGCACCGGGCCGACGAAAGGAAGAGATGTGTGAAGCAGATGCGGTTGAGGACGAGAAAGGCAACGGGCGCGCCGAATGTGAAGTGGGACGACCAAATGGTGTGACGCGGATGCATGCCATATGGGACATAGATTGAGGCGAGTGCAAAGACGCGAGTGCACAAGAGAAAAGCATGGTGGGCGACCGCGGGAGTACCGAGAAGGGGGAAAGGAAGCACATGCGAAGACGGGTAAGAACCCGAAAAGGTACACCCGAGAAAGCCATCCGAATCGCGATCCAGAAGGGCCGAAATGGAATGGAAGACCGCCCGGACGGGAATCGAAGAAGCCGGACGCGGATAGGGCGCGCGGTGCGTAACGAGCGGGTGCGGAGCAGCAATAACGCAGGGCAGAGGAACGAAAGTATGCAGAGTCGACAGAGGAAGAGAATAACGAGAAAACCGTCAGCGCTGTCGCAGCAATCACAGCAGAACACACTCACAGACGCGCACCCTTACTGCGGACGCCCAGCCCACCCATCCCGACGCTGATGCCTGCGCCGCCTCCACCGCCAAACCCGCCAAACCCGTCCTCCGAGTCGCTGTTGTCCGAGTACCCGTTGGAATTGGACGCTGGCGGTGCGGGTGCGGGTGCCGCCGCCTTTTTCGCGCTAGTGCGCTTGCGCTTGGGATTTGGTGGTGCGGAAGTCGATGGCGCGCCGTTATGACCATTGCTCGGACTCGTACCGGGATTGCTGGTATTCTGAGGCGGAGGTTGCTCGTATTGCTGATACTGAACGTGCTGCTGCTGACCCTGAGGCGGATACTGGGCGAACTGAGCCAGCAGATCGTCGTAGCTCGTTCCAGGTGCCGGGTACGCAAAGTCAAATCCTCCCCCATGTTGGCCGTGGTGCAACTGATGCTGCTGTTGCTGATGATGTCCCTGGGGATGCTGCTGGGGATACTCCCACTGATTCTCATAGAAAGACGGCGGGGGACCAATCATGCTTTCTTGAGGTTGTAGTGGCGGCTGGATTGAATGCGGGTGCGCCATGGACGCTGCTTTGTAGCCGGCGATGGGTGCGCCGGGTTGGACGTGGATGATAGAGTGGATTTTGCGGGCTGACACAAGAAATGGATTATGGCTTCAGACCAGATCTAGACGGGCGCGCAGATCACGTAAGCACAGCCATTACCCAACCGGCAACACGGGAGTTCCTGTCGGCCGATCTCCTTCCCGACTACCACCATGTGCGTCCTTTCCTCTGTCGATTCCCTCTGCTACTCTCGTACTCTGGATCCATACCACGCAAGTCTATCGTAAAAGCCCTTGTTCTTTTCTAGTCTTGAATCCACTCTCCACGGCGTGAACGTCAGTCACCGTGGGGATAGCATGCACATCCCCACATTTCGTCCTTCGCAAATCCCAAAACGCGCCAAGGCAACCGTCACCGTGACCCAGGGCGGTGCAATTGTATCGTGTGCAGCAATTACTTTGGGGTGGAGCGTGTGGTTTTCGTGTATTGGGGATGTCGCGCATAAAATCAACGCGTCCTCCGCGCGTAATCTCTTTTTTTACCCCCATCCATCTAACTTGAAACTACGTTTCAGTTGAGTTAGGTTTAAGTTGAGTTGCGTTCAAGTTGCGTTTCACACTGCAGGATTAAACTCTATTAACTCTTTTTACTCTCTCACCGAAATCCGCCATTCGGATGTACATATATTCAACCAGCTGAGTATGTTATCAACCGCCCGTTAGCACAACGGTTAGTGCGTCTGCACTTGATGTTGAAATGATAGAAGAGATTACGCGGAAGATCCCCGTTCGATCCGGGGTCGGGTGATGCGGCGCGAGCTTAAGCATTTTTTATTCCCTCTTTGATCTTCAACATCTCCTCTTTCGGTTTTGGATCCAATGTACTGGGTATCAACGGGCACAAACACAGAAAAGAATTCGAAAAAGGAAAGAGAAAGAGGAGAAAAGGAGAGCTCTCTCGAAACAACGAATAACATTCTGTGGAGTTCTAAATACTTGGTAGTACTAAGTTCTAGCAATTCAAATCACCAATGCTACACAAGTATGTATGTACCTGGTTTGACACGTCAAACGGTCAAATCTGTCGTAGTTAGAATTAAATCCAGGAAGTGTGAATGCCGGTGATTGCTGAATAACTTCATTTGGTCTTTGAGTCGGTGCTGAGCGCGATCTGAAATTCTGGCCTGCATGATCATCAGTTGAACCAGGGAAGAACAAGCACATGTCGGAAAAATCCAATTTACCTGATCAGGTCCTGACGGCACCTGACGGGCATATCATCCCTGGTCAGGTTGCACGGGAAGCCTTATCAGGTCCTGTCAGGTTCTGGTCAGTCAGCGTCAGATTCCCCCTCCCCAGCAAGAAGACATTTTTCAACTGTCACTCCAAAAGAGAGCAGGATGTCGTCCCAACATCGTGAGCAGTTCAAAAGATGGAAGAAAACAGTCCAGCGCCCGAATTAGGGCATCTGTTTCGACGAACCCGGTGTGCCGAACACGGTACATTATTCTGTTGGTGTCCTTCCAACGTGAAACCACTTCTTTGATTGTTCATTTATGAATAAAATAAAAATACACTTCACCTTCTGTAGTCCATAGCACTCAAATATTAGATACTTAGTTTCGAATTGAAGGATTGGAGAGCTCTTGAAAGGACCTTTGAAAGAAGGTCAAAGAGTTTTGACTACTGCATGAAAATCCTCTGATCAGGCCTCGTCAGGCATGATCAGGTCGGTCAGGCTGATCAGGCTGATCAACCCTTATAACTGCTTTTTCGAGCCTTTTCAGGTATGTGATATCCTGACGACCTGACGCAGCCTGACATGCCAATATCAGGAGTGACAGGCCGATTCCGTTTTTTCCGACACAGTTCTTCCTGCAGATACTATTAAAAATGGTTGGGCCATCTGTTTCCCATTGAGGAACGGGACGGTGTCGGTGGTTGTTAGAATAGGACAGTGGTTGCATCATATAAGCCATCCCCACGGGTGTCTGCGTCACCGAGAAATTTTCATTTTGGTGTATAATGATTACAGCAATCATTCCAGTCTTTGGAGGCATCAAACGTGTATGGCACGGTCTAAAGCATGCTTAGGGAGTCCATTGGTGCCAGATGGAAGTAATCAGCATAGAGGGATATATAGCGAAGTGTGCGGGACCACCAACACGCGACGATGGTATGTGGTAGGAGGCAGATGTGGAGCGTGAGAAGATTATGTGCCCTGCTCGAAATGCTCATTGGTGGAAGGTGGAAATATTATTTTGAGTACATAGGATCTTTTTAATATGCCTCCTTTTCCTAACGAAATATTTTGGCGAATTTAAAAGGCTGAGGAAAGGCGGTAGGACGAGAACGGCACATAATGGCACATAAACACAGCCACTGGCACATAATACCCAGCTGATCCGATTATAAACCCCTCTTTCTTCGACAGCACGAGCAATTCTTTCTTTCTCATTGTATCCACTAGTGCAATGCATCTGTGGGCTCTCCCTCCGTTACTCAAGTGCAGCCAACACCAACTTTGACTTGAACACTGATATCAATAATCCCCCGCTCAATTTCGGGGCCCATATATCCCACCAGCGAAATGTGCTTTCAAACGCCCGGTAGCACAGTGTCTGCGAAATGTATAGTTTGTAGAATAGCTACGCAGAAGATTCCCGTTCGACTCAGGGTCGGGTGATGAGGGGGGACAGGTTTTCACTTTTTGGTTCATTATTCAAATTCTTCTTATTTTCAACCTCTCTTTTTCTCCGTTACCATGAGCAGCACTTTCCCTCTCTTTCCTTTCTGCGACCAGAATCCATTCGGGTGTAACCACTGCTTCATTCAATTGTTACCTCCGAATCAACCAGCATCAATGAATCTCACAAGATACCCCATATATTCCACCAGCGGAATGAGTTATCCCTCACCTGGTAGCACAACGGCTAGTGCGTCTGCGTTGAATATCTCGTCCACAACAAGTATTTTTATGCAGAAGATCCTCGTTCAATTCGGGGTCGGGTGATATTCTGTTTGGTTGATGTTTTTGGTTCATTTTTCAACTTCTCTTTTTCCTCATCCGCAACCATCGCCGACTACAATTATTTGTTCACTCCTCTTCCAATCACAGCTATTCTTCAGCTTCTACTCTGAAATCTCTACACGCACTGCTGATTCAGCTTCGATTCATTCCCATTTCAAGTTCAACCACTCCAACTCACCCATATATTAGGGTTATTCACAGTTCCCTTTTCTCTGCCCTTTTTCCCTCCCTTTTTTGCTCCCTGTTTTGTTCCCTTTTCCCGGCTGAACCACTGGAACAAGGATGTACAATATATTTACATTGATTCGAGCACAGTTTGACAGCAGTGGCACTATACTGGGTACTTCCCACCCTAGGTCAGTTAGTGGGCAATTAGACACCACAAATACCAGCAGGAATGAAAAAAGGACAACAAAAAGGAAGCAAAAAAGGGAAACCCGGAGGGGGGTTTCACAGTTCTCCCTTTTTCTTTCCCTTTTTCCTTTCACCAATCTCGCATTTCAATGAGTTTTGCACCTAGGGTCGTTGTTTCTTACCCTTTTTACATCCCCAAGTTGAAAAGGGGAAAGAAAAACCGGAAAAAAAACCGAAGAAAAACAAAAAGTAGGAAAAAAGGGAAAGAAAAAGGGAAGAAAAAAGGAGAACTGTGAACGACCCTAATGAACCCAAAAAAACATACCTTCTGCCATATCATTAGACCCCAATAAGAACGGGGATCTTCTGCAAACAGATTTTTTCCCCCTGCCATGTGTCGCAGACGCACTAGCCGCTGTGCTACCGGGAAGTTACTAGCACATACCGCTGGTGGGCTAGATGGCTACCTTGGAGGTTGGAAGGTATTACTATTGTGGACCCCCTACCTGGCCACCTGGGTATCTGAGCGATGTCAGTGTAATTTTCTGCCTCAACCTGAATAGTAGGCTGTAGTGGAAGCTCTAGCGCCCCTGTATACGGAAATTGACGGTGATCGGTGTGATTGATGTTACTGTGTCGGCTTTCGGCACGGTGGAACCGACTGACACGTGGATTTCTTATTTTGGCCCAGTGGCACCCACAATCCATCCTCTCTTTCTCCACCATTTCTCGCTCAATTCTCAAGGTTGCGGGCGCGTTCTCATCTGCGGACTCCCCTCTACTCTTCCAGACCTCCATGCGGCTGCTCAGGTGGGCATAGACCTTCGCTGGGGCACCTTTCTCAGCCAGGGGCAACCTCGACTTCCGCAAGCTGGTCATCGACTTGTCATGGGATACGGACTTGTGACCTCCCTGTGATTTGCTGTAGTTCTTATATAGGGTGATTACTACTCTTGTTCATATTCCAGAGATTTTGCCGACGTTATTCCCTTGGCAATACTCATCGTTACATCAAAGGATACTTTTTCGGCCATCTGTGTTTGGAGATTTTTTGTGGGGGATGGGAGGTATTGGTGATGTAACCTGCGGTTCAGGTGTGTTGTTATATCATCTCCAAAGCATTCTACAACTTATCTTGAGCATCGACTATCTCTGTTGACGTCAGGCTGCCTGTTATTGCTACCCATGCCCATTGCCAATTCTACCGTTCGGACACTCACCAGTCATACAAGGGTGACCTGACCAGATAGATAGTCCTGAATGGCGTGGATAGATACTTTCGTGCCCCTTGAACATCAAAACGTGTCGTGATACATAATTACATGGTGTTGTCAGGGGAACCCCTATTTCCGGCCCTCCCGCATCCGGACCTTCCGGTCCCGTTCCGACCCGTTCCGGCTCCTCCCGATATCACATGGCCTGTGATTCCGCCCGGGACCTCTGCCGATCACTCTGGTTGCTATCACATGCCCCCCGTCCGTAGTTACTTATATACCGGGATCTGACGCGGGTGATCCTCAGTCTTTCTTCTCTTCGGATCCCCCTCGTCAGGTCTGTCCATTTGTATCTGTAGCTACTCTGTGATATTTATCTTCGGATCCCCCTCGTCAGGACTCTTGAGTATACTCGGGCCTTGAGGTTGCCCTTACAGGTGTGCAGTGTAAAAATCACGGAAAATTCCCTGTTTCCTTGCCGAAGCAGAAATTCCTCATTACTATAGTTCCTAGGGCCAAAAACAGGGCGGCATCAGTCTCTTGCACTCCTGTTGTAGTGCCCGAGGATGTATCTTGCAGAGCTCTGGTGTGGGGAAGTGGAAAGAAGGATTCTGAGCAACGATTGATTGAGTTTCCCACGGGCAGCCAGCTAGGCCGATTTGACCAATTTCGGACTTGCGGCCGAAAAATATTTACCGATCCATCACATCATCACACAATTGCCGCCGGCGCTCACAATTCACTCTCAGGATGTTAGTCAACGTATTCCGACACTGGGAGACCAGGTAAGGTGTTTCATTGCTTAGTTATATATCCAAAATGCCTTAGGTGGCCAGCTAGGGGGTCACAAATAGTAGGGTTATTCACAGTTCCCTTTTCTCTGCCCTTTTTCCTTCCCTTTTTTGCTCCTTTTTTTGTTCCCTGTTCCTCGTTGAACCAGAACAAGGATGTACAATATATTTGCACTGATTCAAGCACGATTTGACAGCCACACTGGGTACCTCCCACCCTTGTAGGTCAGCTTTGTGGGCAATTAGACACCACAAATACCAGCAAGAACGAAAAAAGGACAACAAAAAGGAAGCAAAAAAGGGAAACCTGGAGGGGGGTTTCACAGTTCTCCCTTTTTCTTTCCTTTTTTCGTTTCACCAATCTCCCATTTCAATGAGTTTTGCACCTAGGGTCGCCGTTTCTTCCCTTTTCTACCCTTTTTACATCCCTAAGTTGAAAAGGGGGGGAAAAATCCGGAAAAAAAACCAAAGGAAAACAAAAAGTAGGAAAAAGGGAAAGAAAAAGGGAAGAAAAAAGGAGAACTGTGAACGACCCTATTCGCCTGGTAGCACATTGGTTAGTGTGTCTTGTAGCAGAATCAATTTATATAGAAGATTCCCGTTCGACTCGGGGTCAGGCGATGCAGTTTGAGCATTAGTGTGGTTTTCTTACCCATTTCGTTAAATCCTTTCGTTTCTCTGCTTTTATTTCAGCTCAATGGGCACACTCAGCTTCTATTTCTGCGCTCCCTTTCTGCTCTGGAAGCCTCACTTGTCTCAGTTACGGAGGAGGAGATGCCTTGATATCATTTTTGGTTGAACATTTCCAACGCACCTATGTATTCAGCCAGCCCGAAGTATTGTCAACTGCGCAGTAGCACAACGGCTAGTTTGTCTGCATTCTGAAAAATGTGGAAGATGTATGCAGAAGATCCCCGTTCAATTCGGGGCTGGGTGAATTCAGGCTGCGAGAGAAGGTTTTGCTTTTCTTTTCTTTTTCTTCTGTTGAAATTTCAAGCGTGGCAAATGATCCTTCAATGATTCCTCCGTTGCCCAACTATCTTCTTATTCAGAGTGAACCTCGACAATAAATAATAACATTAAGAAAGTTCATCACACACACTAGGACTACACATCATCTGCGCTCTGGTGAGGAATTACAACTGTGCGGCCTGTAATTATAACCTCAGAGGCACGAAGCTGTTCAATCACTTTGTTGACATTCTCCAGTGATTCACACTGAACGTGCACGCGAGCAGTGCCCTATTCGGCGGTAAGCAGGGTGTTCGAACAATGCCGATGTATGCAGCAATACATACCTTATAGTCTCCCGTAGTCAGACTCAATTTACAAAATTTATGATAGTCGATAAATCTTGTTGTACATACCTTAGCAAAAAGATCCAGCGCCGCAACGAGTGCGCTTCGCGGACCGTAAGCACTGGAGTGAACTGCAAAGATATAGTCAGAGCAGAATTGAATACATAAAAGACTGACATACTTGATACACCGCTGCTAATCAGGTCGATTGTGTTGAATACAATGTTTTTGAAGCTTATGCCGACCTTGAAAAAAGGATCATTGGGTGTGCATGGTAAAGGAAGGCACCTGAACATACCAAAACCAAAGCCGGACTGCTGGGGAAATTGATGTTGTTGCCTTGAAGGCCAAGGCAAGGTTGAACCCTTTGGAAATGTTGGTGTTGAACTACGCAAACCCAAGCACACTTACTTTGATTAGTTGCGACGCCAATGCGACGCAATCAATGAATCCAGTGGCAGTCTTGTTTGTGAGTTTGATTAGATCAAATGTCTCTTTGGCTCCAAGCTCCAGCGCGATTTTGCACGCCACAGGTTTGAAATTGCAGGCATAAACTTTGTGATCGCGTATGAGGATTCTTCGATTGACACAAATTACTCTCTTACCGGTTGCACCAAAATGTTTCGCGTATTGCAGGACGAGGTGGCCAACGCCGCCAGTTCCTGAAATCAAAACCTTGTCTCCCTGCCTGACCTGCAAACATGTGAAGCTTTATTACCATTTCCTTTGCAGAAAGGTGAACTACCTTTGCTGTATGCTGGACAGCATGATACACGGTGATGCCTGCATCACTCGCAATCACAGCGACCTCCGGAGAAACACCAGTTGGCTGCAAATATTGGTTAAAGAGAAAGAGGAAATCATGCAGCGTTAAACTCACCACAGGGATGAGCTTGTCGGCGGTTACAATACTATACTCAGCATATGAGCCATCTGTCCCCAGGCCCAGGGCGTTCAATCTGGCAGGACCGCCATTCATGCCATGGACACAGCCATCAAGAGACCGAATACATTGTCCCTATCTTCACAGTGTGGCTGTCGACCTTGGCACCCAACCTGTCCAATATTTTCAGCGACCTGTTCAAAGCGACCCGCCATCCGCTAACTTGATGGGCATTCCACAAGCTTCATGGCCGATGATATACGACCGTTTATATAGACCAGCTCCACTCAGAAAGGCTACATGGCTGTAGTCTATTAGTTACCGAACCACCATATGAGGTGTCCTGCATTATTATATAAGCATCCCTTTCGGGAAGGCACGTGCCAGGTGTCCTTGACGCGACCAGACACGACTTGACGCGTTGAGAGCGGTAAATAATTCTCCACCTTTTTTAACGAGTCTGGACTGATTCCTGTTAGCCGCCTCAACTTGAAACGAGTTTCTCCCGGAAATTCAGATTGAGAACCAGGACTTTAAAGAAACTCAGGGGTTCTGCATCCCAATTAGGCAAACATGTCCTGGAGATGTAACAAAGAAGCGGGAAAAAAGCGGAGAGAACATATATCTTTTCAAGCTCCTCTACAACTATCTATGGCTACGATTTGTATCAAATGGCGGCCAAAACGCGTAGAATTAATGGTTTGTTTGGTCGTGCATTGCTGATTGTTACCTAATAAGATGGGACGCCGGTAATCAAGGCGCGGTAACTAACAGACTGTATATCAGGCGAGGCACGAGCAAGTGTTGATACTACAGTGTCTGTCTTAGAGAGACTAACATGGCTGTGGCATACACCAGCAGCGGCGACTTTGAGCAGAATCTCGTGGTCTTGCAATGTGCAGATCAGATAGTCCTTGTAGTGCTGTCCACATATGATATTAATACGAAGATTTGCGTATTATATTATATCATTATGTCTCCAGCATCGTATCATATCCATATTATATCGCTCCCGTATTTATTAATACATATCAGAATATATTACGGATATATTCTTAATATCTTTCAGGGTTTTTTCACGGGGCCATTTTTCAATTTTTTGCTCTATAACTATCCAGGTTGCTGGAGGACATATATCATCACTTTTAAGACCAGAGAGAATTAGAGTGCATACGGCAACGAGATACCGGGACTTTGATGGGGAATTCTTCCCTTTTCAAGTAACCGCGACTTTGTTGGTCACATTTGGTCACGTATACGATGCATCAGTCATTTTTTACCCGACATGATGGGTAGACCATGCTGCTCGTCGCCATCAATGACGAGACAGCTATGCAAGCCTTCAATAGGACCCCTGAAAATACCCCAAAATGTTAGGTTCCGTGTTGGACAAAAATGGACTTTTGGGGTCGGAAGCTTAGGTTCTGGTTGGACAAAAACTGGACCTTTGGCCTGAGTTTTGTCAAAATTTTATCACCCAAATCACATTTGGTGGGGCTTTTTATGGCTCAAAAGCAGGAGATCCATAGAAACCAGCGGAAAACACCGCCAAAAACGGATGAAACACTGGTGCGATTAAAAAGTGAGCAATTTCGGAGGCGTGGGAGCTAGAAATTACCCTTTCAGGGTGATGCCATCACGTCCGGCTAAGTCCGGACCAATCAGCGTTGTTGGACAAAAAATGGCACTTTCGGCAAAGTCGGGACCTAACATTTTGGGGTATTTTCAGGGGTCCTCCTTCAATCTCATTCAATTCTTGACGGTCTTCGCATCTGCACCACCAACACACAAACCTTGAGTATATTTTTGATCATATCCTTTAGATGCATGATTCAAGCTGCTTGAATCGTATCAAGCAACGGCAAATAGGAAAGGTGGGTTTGATGCGTGAGGCAGGAGGGGCGGGGCACAGTCTCCAGCATCGAGTGATGTCGAGAGCCGATGTTGCCGAAATATTTACTGATGTCACACGGTATGATCCGGTTTCTGCGAAAGGGAAGAATTCCCCATCAAAGTCCCGGTATCTTGTTGCCGTATGCACTCTTAGAAAAGTGATTCAGATTACAGTTTTGGATGGGTCAATGGGCTAAGACAGTCAATGGGCTGTTCGAATTTACCACCTTCCTGCTGAGCCACTCTGAAACTTGGTGATATACATCATAATACATGTACTCTTCATATAAATGATGTCTGCAAAGTAATTTGACCCTCATTTGTTCTGTAAAGCATGTAAGAAGGCAAAAGTTCTGCCATGTTTGGCAGTGCATTTGATGCGACACTCAATGGGCTGGTCGATTTATTTCAAAGCTCATCCAATACTACCTGAATCAGCCTCATTTTTGGGAGGATATACATGACCCGGATCAATTATGTTTGGCTTCTTCAGAATTAACATACTACATAAAAATGTTTTCTATGCCAAATGATTTGGTCAGCCCATTGACCCATCCATAACTGTAGGTCACCTTGGTATTGATGATCAAAAAGCAAACATACACAACTGGAGGAGGATTGTGTTCAGTCATGATGGGTAAATTTCAGTTGCTGCAGTGAGTTGTACCTAGCCTGGTGATGTTCTGGTATTCCTAGAGGTGGGAGAACCCAAAAAAGTGCTAAAATGAACCCCAAAGGCCTTGGTACTGTGCCCAAAACATCATAATATCAGAATAATATGCCTAATATGGTCCTGGCGTATCATATTATACTCGTATCATATTATACTCGTATCATATCGTATCATATCAGCCCGTATTCATGTTTTTGTCTTCGTCCTGACCCCGTATTATATCTATAATATCATGAATTATTAATATCATATTATCGGATATTATATTTATGGACAGCACTAAGTCCTTGTCGAGGACAAGGCGCGGATCGCCGGAGACATGTACAGCTGCGAGCATGGTGGTGGGGATCTCCATACTTGGTAAAGTCGAGGATGAAGTGTAGGTCTGGAATAGAAGGCTTGCACATAATTCCAATCAAGCTCGGATAACGCTCGTCGGCCCACAACGGGCTCTGTTATGGAGTGCGCGGAAAATGGGAGTCCAAGAAAGGAGAAAGACGGGATCCATGAGGGCGTGGGCGGGCCCAGGTCTATCCTATACATGGATGGAGTTATTGGGCATCTTGGGTCTGGCAAAAAGGGCTGTGTACTCGCACGCTGCTACCGATTTGCAAGTGTGATCCGGAGGAATTGGTAAGTTAGCGACCCCCCAAGTGCCCGCTCATCGCTGGTTGTTGAACAACGCGAGATTTTCTTTTCAGCGGCTTCAATTTTTTCAGAAACCAATTTGGCGCTGTGAAACGGACGTATGATTGTGATCCAGGACCATACAAGATGCTCCCAGATTCGATAATGTAGGGATAGACTTATCGTAAAAAGCGGTTCAGGGGTACTGAGAGCTGTCAAGTAACTCGAATGTTGTTCAACTTAAAAG